CCCAAAAGCCAAAAAAAAGCCCAAGATTTTAAAAGCGTGTAATTCAGGGTTGATCTGCAGCTGTAAAATATTGCAGGCTCTTTCGGGGGCAGAAAGCAAGGGACGGGCCAGCCCTGGAGACAGCGATCGCCCCCCTCTGCCCCTCCTAAATTGCCTGTGCCCCCCGAAGCCTTCGCCCCTTGCTGAGATCGAGCGGGTGAAAAGCAAACTGCTGATCCTGGGCTGGCACTGATACGGCCCCAGCTCGGCCCCTCGGGCCACCAGCTGTTGTCTGGTTTTAAAATTAGGCTTAAAAAAGAAAAAAAAAGGCAAAAAAAATTTGCATTTCTGCCATTGATACCACAATTGCTAATGGTCCTAGAGGGGACTTAGAGCTCCGCCAAGGTTTCTGCGTGCTGTCGGGCAGCACCCCAGCCTCCACCTGGGGCAACGCGCTTTTGGGGAGAATTAAATCCCTTTCTGCCACGAGCAACAACAACCTGAAGTGTCTGATGGCCGCGGAGCTGCAGCCGGGGACCGGCTTTGCTGGGACGTGAGCGAAGGCGGCCGCCCCGGCCGGGATGGAGCCGAGCCAGCTTACCCCCACCCGAACCCGTCCCTCCGCCCTTCGACGGCCGAGATGCCAACTGCCGCTGCCGGTGCCTTAACAGCCTTGAGAAGCCAAACCAGAAAGCCTCGGGAACACGGACAATAGCGCAATGACAGATGAGTTTTGCATATCCGGGTGTTGACGCTGTTTGAACGTTCCCGTATAAGCTATTTAAAATAGCAACAGCTCAAAGAGTTCAACGCTCCCCGCCAGCTTTCAACGCAGCGACCCCCCCGTTCGCGAGTGAAATCAGCTCAGTTCCCAGCGCCAAGGCATCGGGGCAGCAAGAGGGTGATATCTGTACAAGTAACTTCTTGGTGAGATGACAACTATTTGCACTAGCAGAGTAGCAGAGATTTCTTTTTTTTTATAACTCATCATACTTAAAACTCCAGACGCTATTAAGTCTACGGGAGAAAGTGTAGAAATAAGTGAGATTTCCAAGAGAGGAAACACCTCAGCTGCTGTTTCTCAGCTAGTGTAAATCAGCGTAGCTCTGCTGGAACCAATTTAATCTTCTAAACCAAAAGTACGTGGAGGTTTCTTCCCTGTGAACCTCCAGAAATATTTCTGTGGTGCCTGTTCTTTCTGAAAGAGGCTTAAAAATCACAGTGGTCCAATTCCCTCCTGCAGCAGGGAAATACAGGCAATTAGATAACGATAAGAAACCGCTTAGATCTGTCCCTGTTAACAAGCTTATTTGGAAAGTGATCTTTTGCCTTGCCAATAGATCCAGATCTTGCAAGCTCACAGACGTAGCAAAGACGAATTTGTTGGGGGTACGTGGATGAGGAAAAACTCCGGGGAAGGGAGGGCAGGGAGAGGAGAACGCGCAAACTGAAACCCTTTGTGGCAGATATTCAGTTGCTCTTGCTATCAAAGCTGTTTGCCCAGTTTGGAGGACAACCAGTTGCTTTCTAATTCTCTGAAAGTAACCCCTAGTATCTCGAGATAACATTTTTCTTCCAGCTCCTGCTCTCAGATGCTGCGTATCCCCCAGCCCGTTCTCTCGCAGCCGGCGCTGGGGCGAGAAGGCCATCTCCCCTGCACTGTTGCAATGTGTTTCAAACCCGGTCCTGCTGCTTATCCACTTTGCACTTTGCTTATCCGCTGCTTGGAACAACAAAAAAAAGCCTTTATGGCCTCGAAGCCAAGCCCCCGCAGGGCACGCATCCCTCCTGATGGCATCTCCAGGGGGAGGAGGTCCTGCCGAATTCCCATGGGCTCACCCACACCCGGACCCTTGGGATGCTGCTTAAATCAATGCAGGGACACTATATTTGCACTAAATACACTGGATTAGCAGCTCTGACCATCCCGGAGCTGCCCTGAATAGGGATCACGGTGTGTCCTTTGCACAGACAGCGGAAGAGCAGCAGGGACGGGCACGTTATGCTGGGAAGGACTGAATTGGGCTGGGAAAATCAGATATAAACTGAACTTCTTGGACGCTTCTTTGGGAAAATGTTTGTGTCATAGCTACTTTTTTTCCCCCCCCGCTCATGGTTTACAACCAGTAAAATATCCTTGCTGCTTCAACACCCAACTGCTCATACTTAACTTCGCTGGTATAAAGCAAGTCCAGTGCAAATAGTCGCTATTTTTGTACATATTTTTTTATACTATTTTATCTGATGTGCATTGTCCTTTGGAATAAAGAGCGCAGTCTTTATTAAAAACAAGCTGCCTCGGTGAGTTTTTTGCCCTGGGTTTGGATTTTCTTTTAATCCCTCTTTCTGCCACGAAATGACCACGGCTGTTCCACCAGCACCGGCTTCTCACACAAACGCCTGTTGCAGACACAGCACCCGGGTGAGTTTTGTGCAACGAATTGGCACAAGCACCAGCTCACAAGGTTTTGCAGGTGGTAAATCACCATTCAGCACTATTCGTAGGCGCTCAGCACCAAATGCTGCTCCATCACTCATCCAGCCAGGTATAGAGTACCACTGAGCATCCTCTAATCCCATTTACTCTGCGAAGAGCATGAAACAAGTGACGATTTCCCAAAAGTAAGAGTTTATACAGTGAAGTACTGTCTTTATCACCCCTGAATTAGCTGTAACCCCACAATTTAAGCACAATCCCAGCGGCCTCCAGAGTTTTCCACTACAAGCACCAGTCGAAGTTTTTATTTCTGCCCCTGCCTTCCAGTCCTGCAACCACGTCAGGAGCAGCGTTGGGCTCCGTAGGACCATAAAAAGAAGAATTCATCCTGGGAGCTGTCAGCGTGAACGTTTGCCCCTCGTAGAGCGGCGGAGAGGGACCGACCTTGGCTCACGCCTGCCCGTGCGCACGCTCCCTCCCCTC